CATATTTTCTGTTGCCGCAGAGTGTCGTGATTGTCAAATACGACAAAATTTTTCCGAGGCCCAATCAGAAGTCCGCCAAAACGGGGCGCGTAAAACTTTTGTTATATTTGAGAACCACGACACTCTGCGGAACCAGAAAATATCACATTTTGTTCAGCTCACTTTTCTCTACAAGACTAGATATAAACGGTCCTTGAGTTTCCTTTTGTTCGAGCGTCACGAGACTCGTAAAACAACAAAAATCGTGACGGCATCACGAAAAGGCGACCGTTACGTGGACAGGCCGTCTACTAGTTTAATGATTTGATCAAACATATTTGTAATCAAATAAGAATATCTTTTTCGTTTTGTTGTAGAAAATTACACAGAGACTACTGATTTTGTAGAAGATCATTCGAGAAGTTCAGTCGCTCGTAAAAATCAATAAAAAATGTTCTACATAATTTACATTTGTATGTTGAAATGTACACGTACAACATATCTTTTTGTCCACACCTCCTTGTATCATTGTCGATATTCCTTTTTTTCCGTTTCTCTTGTTTACCTTTTGATTATCTCTTGCTTAGTTAAACGTGTGAGAATGGGTTTTTGAGTCATTGCAATGTTTGTTTTCCTTGTGCATTTTACATATAGCTTATGTGTGCTGTGTTGTTTTGTTTAAGATGTTGATTCATTTTTGCCATTCTAACTATTGTCATGGCTCAAATATTGCAAACATTTTACAAAAATGTTCAGGAAATATGTTCAAAAGACAACGAACAAGAATTCATGACGTACCTAACAACACGGGGAATTTTATTATTAAAACCATTATTGGAGTTAGATATACAAGTAAGTTAGTTGTCTTATTGCTTCATCAAGTATTCCCATCTGTCTCTTATTTCTTTTGTAGAAATGGTACAGTCCAATACAAGGACGTGATTTTTGTTGCTTTCTTCTTAAAATTATACCATTATGTTATCCTTACATATCAACTACAGATGCTGAAAAAGGTACATGATTATCTTAAAGTAACAAATTTGTTTTAAAAATTTGTTCTCCTAATTACTCTGAATACTGCGTTTGTCCTTTATCTGTACACTAAGGATTACTCTGAATTAAACATCCTTTTTTTGTAGCATATCACAATTTGCCATCAATCACTACAACGCTTGAATTCAATCAAGTTGAAAAGTCTGATGAAAAATCTTTTTTATTTCATGAAATAAATAACATTAATGAAGTATCTTCTACTCCAGTTACAACATCTGTGTTAGATGTTGTTGAATGTATATTTTGTTTAATAATTCGAATATATTCTGAACCAACTCTAGAATCGTTTGATAGTACTACTCATATTGAAATAATTCAGACATTATCAACGATGTTCGCAAATGAAACATCTCTAGCAATCAATAATGATGAATTATCACCAATTTTACTATGGCTTTATCAGATGAAAATTCGAGCATTATTCTCAATTATTCGACAAACATTTCGATTATTTACATCGGCGTTTATTTCACAATTAAAAACATTTCCGATTTCAACAATTATAAACGATCTTAACAAACGGTCAACACCGTCAATTTCAACACCATCTTATTCTCTAGTTCGTTTAACATTTGATACTCTTCAGGGTAATTATTTAGTCTTTTCTACATCTACTTTTTTCTTGTATACTATACGTTTCTTTTATTTTTATATTTAGGTTTTCTCATTTTAATTGAAAATATTCTTACCTATGTATTTGATGAAAAGTTGAAAAAAATGAATAAAAAAGAGACAAAATGTTCTTATATACGTGAAATTTTACCGTTAATTAGTGAATTATTAACAAGTGATTATTTTACATTATTTCAAACTGTTCAAAGTCAATGTGAAACTCGATCTAAACAAATTATTGAATATTTACATGAAATATTAAAACGATTAAAATCGTGTCGAATATATTTATATAATAAACAACGTTGTATGAATAGTGACACAAAATTTAAAACACATAAACATTGTAAATATATTCATTTACATCAAAGTCAATTTGAAATAACCATACCACATACGACAAATGATGGTATATCGACAACAAGACGAATTTGTGTAATATCAACACTCTATGACAAATTGTTAAGATTAGCAAATAAACAAATTGAACAACAAACATCGATCACATTTGCACAGGTACCAAAGCATATCGCTTGTTATCATCTAATACCTATTAAATTTCTTTTTAGGATTGTTTAAACGTGTTATCTTCTTGTGGTTCATGTTCGTGTTATCCTTTATCTCATTATCGTTCATTATTAATAAATGTAAATCATCTTACAGACCATTTTAATATTCAACGTCAAACAATATCATTGTTACGCAATGCATTTTTATTAATTCGTTCATGTGAAGTCATTTCTCCAACTTCTCAAAGTAATAAACAACCACCGGACACTACGTATATGAATAGCGCATTTTGGACTTATATCTCAACTCATTTATTACAACAAGAATCATTAACACAATTTTCACTGGAATTTTCTCGTTCATTATTAGATCTAATTCAATGTTGTTCATCAGCGGAAAAGCGAACAATTTTATTCGTTTGTATCTTACCAGCATTAGAATATTATCGATTAATGTATTCATCAACATCTACCAATGAAAATACACACCAGATTGTTCAAAATATTCTTCTAACATTACCCACATTGATCGATTGTGTTTCAGATTTACCTGATTCTTTCTATTCTTTACTTTCATCTTCAAATTTTAACTCAAATGTATCAACTCCGATGAGCTGTAGTCCATCATCAATCAACTCAACACCTCCAACAATTAATTTTTCAAGTAAATCTAAGACATATTGATGTTACAAATTTTTTAATTAATTTTCTCATTTTTCTAATTAAGATCTACCATCTTCAACAATTCGTAAACAATCAACAATTTCGAATAATTTATCATTACTAGATACTTTAATAGCATTATCATCAATGGATAATTCAAATATAATGCTTAGCTATACACTGCCCGTTATTGGCTATATTTTAAATCTTACACCGGCTGAAACCGATTATTTAACACCCTTAATTGATCTTATATTAAAATGTACATTAAGAGTATGTTGTAATGATTTATTATCTCAAGAACAAAATGTATTTCAAATTGTTCTCATTCTTCTCATTAAATGTCCACCGTTTCGTCAA